TGCCAAGAAGAATGTGACAAAGGCCACAACAAATGAGCTCCTAACCGCCGCCGCTGCCGCGAAGCAATGCAACATTGAAAAGGAACGGAAACTCAATAGCCTAAAGCATAGAACTATCGATCCAAGGACTTCCACGACTACAATAAGCATAGACGACAGTTGGGTGCGGGAATCGTGCATTGATCCCAACGATGACTACATGGAGACAGACTCACTAATCCTTCCATCACCCCCACGGCCCATAAACAGGCACAATAACAACAGTGTCAAGATATTTGTCAGCAGCAATGGGGATGATAATGGGGAGGTCGGTAGTCGGAATGCCTTGTCCAGACCGAGAGCTCTGCTCGCACCATCCTCAAGCGGCTCAACATCGTCGTCGGGCTGCGGTGGCTCCAGTCGGGATAATAGCTCACTTTGCGAATCGGAACAGGATTGCTGTTCATGCTTAGGAATACCTTCGAGTGGTGGTAACGACTGCTGCAATGCCATCGGTGGTGTCTTCTGGAACAATGCGTGCTATGATATTGAAGCAGATGTTGGCGCCGGCTGCTGTTGCAGCATCTCCAGCTGCGATGATGACGATTGCTCCTACTTTGAGGGTAACTTCAGCGCCATCAACTTGAATCACAGCCAGGGGAGGCGCGGCGAGATGCACCTACGAGATAATAAGTTGCTGCGAAAGGTAGGATGGAAGGCAAATACTAAATACTTCCCGCGCTTAACTGCATTCCAGACCTAATAATTATACATCTGCTAATTAGGCGGAAGCCTTAAGAGACAACCAGCTTGAGCTGTTGCCCTTGTTTTCATATCTACACATGTACACTTCCTGCATATTTTGCGAAAATTACATGCATAACTAGTCGGGACTTTAGTTCCTCATGGTAGAGCTTTAATTGGCCGAAACCGGTTAGAACCTTTACGCATTTACCGTTGGCCAATACATTATCACTCTTGTTCACTTTGAATGCTCTCTCAGTTATGCCTTAAACATGCCGCTTAACATAAGTTTCTGAAATGAGAATTCCAATTTAGCCTGTGTTTGTTTATTTCCAAACTTGAATGCCGGCTCTTTTGGGCTCGACCAAAAAGCGCATTTTCAAATTTTACATGCAGTATTAATCTATGGGTCAAACCATGATAAAAAATGTATTGCTTTTCAAAAGTGATTAAGTCTTGACAAAGTTATAAGGATGGAAAGTTTTGATCAACCGAAACGTCCAAATGTCCGGATTACATTTAAATTTGCTACACGAACTGAACTCCAGATGTGTGCAATCTGTTCACATCAGGAAATGCAGTCGAAATCCACCTATATCTTATGCTCCAATGACATGAAGCACTAAAACTCCGAATCAAACTTATAATTGGAATGCAGCTCGGCTTTTGCAAAGCCAAAAACATATCTATGATAATTATTTATTGAGTCGGCAACGGATGAGTAGCAAATATAAATACATATGTTGCTACCTATATACATATGCATATATCCATATAGGCATCAGCATGCAAGTACATAAGTATTATCTAACTGAAAGTCGCACATCCGAAGTCTCAGCCAAAGGTGAAGGTAGCGTGCAGCTGGAGTGTGGCAGGAAGCTTCGTTTCATTAATAAATGAAACAAAAGCAAAGAAAAAAAATAAATAAAAAATGTAGGAACAACAACAGCAAAATGCAAACACCTTGGCGTTTGGATTTTTTTTTTTTTTTTTTTTGGCTCGTTGTGGTTTCCATTTCGCGGTTTCATAACCAAATTATGTAGACACACTTTACATTTGTTCATATATGTTTTTATTTTTATTATCGACTGCCTGTCAAGTGTGCTGCTGTGATTTTGAGTCATTTCATGTTTGTGTTTTTTATTTTTATTGTGTGATTTAAAAATAAACCGGGCACACCGTTAACACCAGACTTGGCTGAGTTTAGTCAGTGGCATAATCATGAGCCGTTTTTTGTTACTACTTAGCAATTAAGAAATTGGCAACAAACCGTCTGACCACTTAAATTAGTGGTACTATAAGCTGCCTTAAATGACAGTTTACGCTTGTCTTAACTCTTTAGCCAACCGCCCCCTGATATATATATAATAGTCTATATGGCTATAATGCAGTCAAATTTCACTAGCTCAAATAACAGGTTCCCTGACATTTAAAACTTCGAGTTGGTGGTGGAAAATTAAAAAATAATAATCAATGATTTAATGAGCATAAAAAACGCAGAAAATCTTTATTTAAGTATTATAAATCGAATTATAACAAAAGATATCATTAAAATGCATCTGATTAAATATTAAAATCCAATCAAAGTTAAAAAAAAACCTTTTGTTTGTTTTCCCAAAATATATTAATTAAACTCACCCATATTAAGCTGAATTCGTTTTAAAAATCTACTCAAAGACTCATTTTGTATTCACACATTTAAAATAATTAACAAAAATTTGTATAAGCTAAAAATAACATTGAGTTATGGTTAAAATAATAGATTGCTTCAAAATTAGTCTGTCTGTGTTATTAATACCCGCTAAACTTTTCTGTAAATCATTTTGTGTGCTTTCCCATAATAAATTCAACAAACTCATCAAAATTGAGCTGAATTCAGCTTTAAAGTCTACTCATAAATGCCTTTTGTGAAACACTAGACATATTTTTCAGTATTCAGTATTATAAGTAACCACGAATTGTTATATGGAGTACAAGTTATCTATCGCTTTTTATGTCTTGACGCAATTGCTACTCAATTTTTTTGAGTTACAACAAATTCAGTTGAAGGAAGTTCAACTGTGTGTACATAGTTAAAAACGTAAGACATCAACTGAATCAAGGGGACTCTCACTTTCGCACTCCTACAAAATAAGAAAAAAAATTAAATATATATAAAAAAAAACCCAACTTCGTATTCGTTTCGTGTTTGGTGGCACGCATCTGCCGTTAACACCTTTCACTTTCCCTATTGTCTTTGACTCGTATAGATTTGGATGTGTATGTTATTTGTCAGCTACTCGCAAGTTGACAGAACTCAAGAATGAAAGAATATTTAACTTTTCATTTTGGATTCCTAAGTAGTCATCAAATTTGACTGATCAAATCTTCATCTCTCGCTCATCAAATACCAAAATATGATCTAACGGTAAGAGACAAATTTTGTTTACTTCTTATTGGCTTATTGGCCTCGATTTGGACAAAGTAAATTTGTGTCATCTCTGTAACGGCCATCAAAGCCAGCCAGCTGATCTTCAATCTGAACTTCTCCAAACTTTGTGTGTTTTCCACAACTTTTCAGTGCAGTGTAAATTAGTCTACACTCCACATCGTTAATTGGCACAGAGCTGGAGCTTTACTCGACTCACGCCATTGTTACTATTTTTGTTTGCATTATTTACTAGCAGGGGTTACAAAAAGTCAACGTTTTTTTTTTCCTACGCAAACAACGTTAATTAATGTTACAATATAGCTTTCGTTGACAATCGCAATCTGACATTTGGTTTGCGAGCTTACGCACTATTTATTGCAACTCATAATTATTTTTATGCAAAGGTCACAAACTGTAAATCTTACACTCAGAAAATGAAAAGGTCCATTTCTAGCTTTGAGTTTACTTTTTAACAATGGCAACTAAAATATATCTCAACTTATGTTGAATCCTTCAGCAAATTGGAATGTTGTAAACTATTTTGTGTGCTTAAAAAAAATAAGAATAATTTCTTTGTTATTATTTCTTGTTTGAATTCAAAGCAAAGTTGTGTTTATTATATACCCTAATGCCCCACTTTGGTCATTTTGTTTTGTTTGCGAAGCATAGAAAGTAAACAAAATTGAAATTGAAAATGGGGGAAAACGCAAACCAGAAAAGTGAAGAACTTGTAAGTAGACCTTCTTAAAAACAATGAGCCAATGTGAGCCAAAGAAGTGAGTTAATTCTGGCAAAGCGAAACGCGACTAAAGTCGCTGCTGCTATACCAATTAAAAGCACAAACAGACTGTGAGCCAGCTAACTTGGCCAATTGGGGAAGACTTGATGTTGCTTGATGGCTGTTTTAGAAAGCGCTAAGACTCATCAGCAATTATCTAATATACACATTCTGTCAGGCAGCAAAGCAGAAACAGCTTATGCGTAAGTTAAAGTACTATGTAGAAAATCGCCCACTGCATAGAACTTAGCGCTAACTAGTTAATTAGACTAAAAGTTGGCCAACATAGTTGGCCCTTAACAAAATTACGAGCTCTTGTTTTGGGTACACTCAGCAGAAATGAGGAATTTAAAAAAGAAAACCAAAAAAATATATACTTTATTATTTCTTAGGGTAAATTCGATTTAAAGTTAGAAATTAAAATTGTTTCTGTGTTTATTTTATAATTGAATGTTATCTGAAATTTTTAATCTCTTCCCATGAGTTGAGTAAACTTTGGTGAATTTTCTGGAGAGTAAATAATATTAACAATCACAAATAAATTAAATCAACTATTTTTGGATTGTGGGTTAGTCATTATTTATGATTTATGAAATTCACTTTATAAATTCAAAAACTTTTTAAGGAAAAAATTAAAATCAAGCTTTCTGAGTGCTGAGAGTATGAATTTCGTTGAGTGTTTGAACCCACAAAAGCGTAGTAGACGCATGGAAAGTCGAACGAATTGACCGACCGACCAACAGACCAACAAACCGCTTAACGGTCAAAACAGAGCCAGCGGCTAGCGAAAGTGGTAATAGCAAAACGAACCGAACTAACCCACCAACAAGTTGCTCGTCACAACAAAAAAGAACCGTTTTCCACATTTAAATAAACGTTGTCTAGTTAGAAGAGTCACCAGCATCATCCGCTCTAACTTTGATGTCGAAACCTGAAGATTTTTCAAAAACAGTCGCTGACTGGCAAAGATCTATGTCAATAATGTTCTTCTATCTGAAATAGTATTAGTAGGTCTCTTTGTTTCTTAGACCTATTTCAGAAGCCTAATCAGCGTTATATTAATCGCTTATATGTATCTATTTTTTGCAGACTGGTATACATGATCTGCGACCCAGATCCATGGACGGTGTCGTTGACTCCGGCGTTTCATTAAATGGCGACGCCGGCTCGAGTCCAGACAATGGCGAACAAATGCAAAATCAACAGGTAAAATTGTTTATTATATTGATATATTCAGTGCAGTGAGATTAGCTTAATTATAGTTCAATGTCCTTATTTTTTCTTTATTGCCGGAAATACCGGCGTCAGCTGGAACCAAACTGATAGGTCTCTTTCAAAAGATTTTCCCTCATTGATAATTTAAATATTAACAAAGCTGTTAGCTTCTAATTTTTAGATAATTAATGAAGTGAAATATAATCTTAAACTTTATATGAATTTATAAATGCAGATATTTTTTATAACGATTGGGAAAGGGTACAATGAAGCAGGTAACGAGCAAAACGAAGCAAGTATATATTTTCCTGATCAGCATCGATAGTCGGATAGCACATATATCGTTTTATCGATAAATGCTCGAGCAAACCGATTAAAATTCGAGAGTAACAAAAGGAACAAATGTAGGCACGCGATTGTAGTAATCCGATTTTAGTATCGGGATTAAAAACATCTGTTTAAGAAAATTAACAGCTGATTTTGTTGTCCTCAAGTCGAGTCAAATCTACTAGAGCATTTTAACTCGTTTTTTTTCTGTTGTGTTAATGAAAATGGTTAATATAAATGTACAGACCACAGAGCTGCTCAACTAGAGGCAGTGGCTAATCATAAACCTACTAAAATGCTCTTCTTTTTTTCTCGCTCCGTAAATTTATAGGATGCTGAGGCGCGCAAATTGAAGCAAGGACACGTACTGTCGGAACTGTTGGAGACCGAGCGAATTTATGTGAACGAAATGAGTTCGATTCTAAAGGTAAGTCGTACGTGGAGTATACAAACATATATATAAACATGATACAGATCGACATGTCGTGAAAAATGTGCGAAGCCAGAATAAAAGAGCATAAAGAATCAACGATAAGTAAAAGGCTGCTCATAAAACCATGAAGCATGAAATCCACACGACTATGTGAAGCTGCCCAGTGGTCAGCGAACTGAAACCAATACAGTTTCTTTTGGTTCTTTTGCTTGATGAGCTTGAATGCCTACGCTTGTAATTAGTGCATTAAGCCCATTAGGCTGTGAGCGCTGCTTGCCAAGAAGCTGTTACCAATAATTTGTAACCAATTCTAAGCCCCCAGCTAACTGGTAGCTTGAGGCTAACAGCAATCATTTACCGATCGACTCTTGCGCGCAGCGGAACAGCAGCCAAACTCCACAAATTTCGTAGCCAAAGTTAAATAAATAAATCTATTAACCGATATCGATATGCGCTACGGGGGCTACGATCTGCGCAAAGCATCAAAACCAAAGACACCGGGAGCACAAAGCTCATTCCGGTTGCGACGCGTGCAGAATACGGCATGTAATATTGTCGGAAGATTTAATCACAAACTCGGTGATTCACTGATTAAGCGTTTCAATCCCGATGAGCCGCGAGAATCGCCTTTATCGTTTCAAGGTTCGCTCTTCGACTCCCAAGCATCCGGTGGTCGCATTAACTATCGTCCCGCTGATTTTCGGTCATCGTTCAGTACGGATTTCAGTGGCAACTACGTATTTGGCACGAACTTGTGCAACTTTGCCACGCACAATATACTGAATGGCAAGTCGACCATTAAGATAATTAATACCCTACAAGAGTGCGAGGAGCGAGAAGCATCCTCGGAGACAGACCGAGAGCTGGAGGACTACCCAACCACCGTTAGCAATAGCTTGCAGCGCTTGAAGGATCAAAGGCGCACCATATTCAAGGAACTCATCGAACTATCCAGTTGTGACGAGTCGCTGGAGTATCGATTGGTCAAAGATTATCTCGAATCAAACAGCTATTCAGAGATTGAGAACGATACCGAATTTAAGGAATATTTGCAACGCAAAAACTATATGGATATATTAGCCTACCTCGAGGACAGTGAGCCAAAGAGCTTTATGTCCGTGTCATCCTCGCTGGCAAGGGCTCAAAGCTCTTTAGGTTCGCTAAACAACACCAAGATGCTGTCGACACCCAAGTCCCTAAAAGAGCCTAAACAAATGCCTGATCTTGACACTCATATGTGCAGCTCCTGTCGTTCAAGTCTCAATATCCTGCCGCAACCTAGGAACGAGAGGAGAACACAGCGAACAGAAACAGATGTGGCTTTAACAACATCAAAAACGGATTCAAATGCCACTTACGATGAGATACTCAACTTTTGTCATCAGTTTTTCGATGAGAGTTTCAAAGGGGACTTTAAGGATGAGTCAAAACAGCTGCCCAGACTGGGAAACACCAAGTTCAAGTCATCGAAATACGAGCGGATTCTTAAGGATTTTGTTCTAAGGCAGGGTTATTCAAGCGTTGAAGATTATGTCGAACAGAAGTTCGGTCAATTTATAAGCAGAAAAATAAACGCATTCAGCCAACACGAAACATCGCATGTAACTTAAATTGAAATAATTTCTGGATAAATTCACTTCAAACAATATTATTTTTCTTATTTTCCAGGGCTATTTTGATCAAATGCAATCGGATGAACTGATGCATTTGGTGCCCCCTAGCCTGCAGGGCAAGGAGGAGATACTTTTTGGTAATCTGCACGAGCTCTACACTTTTCACAATGAGGTCTTTCTCAAGGATCTGGAGAACTGCATTTCAACCACAGAGCTAGTGGCGCTCTGTTTTGTTCAGAGAGTAAGGAATTGAATATAATCAAACTGTATCTTTGACTCATTCTAATTTGTCTCCATGCTTATTTCAGCGCGACACCTTCTATCGTCTGTACTCGTTCTATTGTCAGAATATACCGCGCTCCGACCGATTGCGAGAGACTCTTGTGGATACGCATCTATTTCTGCAGGAGTGTCAGAAGAGATTGGGCCACAAGCTACCATTAGCTGCATATCTGTTGAAGCCAGTGCAGAGGATAACCAAATATCAATTGTTGTTGAAGGACCTGCTGCGCTTCAGTGACAGCGGTAGTTGCACCAAGGAACTCCAGAAGGCTCTCGATTGCATGTTAATTGTGCTCAAATGTGTCAATGATTCCATGCATCAGGTGGCAATTACAGGTTTTCCAGTAAGCAATCAATATACAAATTGTATTTTAGCATTCGATATTAATGCTCTGCTCTTATTCACAGACCGATCTAGCGCAACAGGGCGATCTGCTGCTGCAGGACTCGTTTCAGGTGTGGACCGAATCCAAGAAGGATATACGGCTGCGCATCAAGCCACAGCAGCGACACATATTTCTCTATCAGAAATCGCTGCTGTTCTGCAAACAAACCTCCAAAGCGGGTCACAACAAAAGCACCTATCAATTTAAGCATCACGTTAAGGTAAGGGTATATTGCATACATATTAGCTTTATATATAGAGAAACATTAACAAACGGCTTTTACACAGATGTCACAGATTGGTCTAACGGAATCCGTTCGAGGCGATACAAAACGTTTCGAGGTATGGCTACAGGGACGTCAGGAGGTGCACACAATTCAGGCGCCCACTTTAGAAGTCAAGCAAAAATGGGTATCGGAGATTAAACGAGTATTACTCAATCAGCTCGAAGAGTTGAAGGGCGAGAAAATCAAGCAGTATGGTTTGAACCATCGCGGCCTGAAGCAGACGACATCGTGGGACACGCCAAACATAATACTGGGCACACCGAGTCGTACAATCAACTGTGACGCATCCTCCGAGTCCTCAAATCGCAACTCGAACTGCAGCAGCGAAGAGAACGGACCTGCAGCTGCATCTGTTGCCTGTGGCAACTCCAGCAGCGGCATGGGGGACAGGGACCATCCAGAAGGATGCGGCTGGAGCTCCGACTATTCGAATAGCGAGGATGAGTTGTCATTGAACGAAGATAATAGCACACCGGTAATTAAAGCTTCATAGCAAGAGTAACATGCGGTTATTGGTGGATATATCTATATATAAATAAATACATATTTTCAATAATTAAGGTTCAAGTGGATTGAATTTAGATTTCGCTGTTTATTTCAACCAACCTATCTAATCTTCTCCGCTGACTGTCCAAACAAATGAACATTTAACTATTTAAAAATATATTAAATTTAAATTGAATCTAAATTGAAAAGAATTGGTTACATCTCTTTCATTTTGGAGTTGTTCATTCATTAAGCCAAATTGCAATTACTTAAAGTTTTTATTTCATTTGTATAATTTACTTTCATGGCCAAACACACCACATATCATAATCATAATCATGCTCAAAATCATACTCTGTGCAAACATAACTCATTATTGTAAATTCGAAATTACTATGCACATACATTGTGTATGTTTTAAATGTACATATATGCATTTCTTATTTGTACATCTCGACAATCAGCGTTTCCTGAATCTACTGGCACAGTGGGCATCACACAATATCAATGGTGCATCGTCTACCTCAACGTCCACAACGTCCACCTTTGCGCGCAACAGCAAATCAAACTCCAAATTTTATGTGTCCGTTGATCACTGAGCAAAACTTATCGTAGCTATAATAATAGTCTATAGGTACGGTCCCTTTACTACTAGTATGCACGTTAAATACCACATTTGTCAAATGTTGCTTGTTATCGTATGCGTCTCTAATCGTTTTGTCAGCGAGTTAAGTGTAACATCTGCAAAACTGTGACTAGTTCATAAGTACATACTACTAAAACAAAAGCGTATAGTAACAATAGTAACATCACATGTCAAGTATCCAATTCATTTGATTGTTAGCGATCCAGCTATTATATAGATAATGTTGGGCACATATTATCAGTACACTTACATTCTTGACTTGAAACGCAATAGTCTAAGTCCTACATTGCAATTACTTTAATTGCAAAAGGCAATATATAAAATTTAATATTAGTAAAAGCGTATACAAATCTTTATAGAGGAGGCAATAAATATAGTTAATTTTGTGTTCAATCATAAAATAAGTCACACCTATGATTATAAACGAAAATAGTATCACTCACACAAACATTAAATATTTTTATATATTTACATTTATTATAATTTAGAATAATTTGTAAATTGCTTATGAATTGCAAAGCTACATTAAGAACCGCTTGAAGCTTGATTTTGTTGATTGATGGCTAACACAAACTTAAATATAGTACTTAAAATGCTTGATTAAGTTATGTATATAACAATAATGCTAACCGCCACGCAATAATAACCTATTGTATATATTTTTGATATACAGGGCAGTAAATTCATTGCCCTGTCTGATTATACGGCTATGGGACACTCGGAAGTTTCGATGCGAGAAGGCGAAGCCATCGAGCTACTGAAAGTGGGCTGTGCCGGCTGGTGGTATGTCCGTGTCTTAGGTAAATCTTTCACTGTACCCCCCACCAACTCCACTGCATGCTTTCTTAGATCTAATGTCATTTGAATGAGCAAACAATTTGATCCTAACTATTTGTATACTTTCTAAACAGATACCAATGCAGAAGGTTGGACCCCAGGAGCGTATTTGGAATCGATAAATCGAAAATCGTCACGATCTTCGAGCTGTAATCAGGAGCGAATGAATTTAAAATAAACAACTGGAGCTCTAATCCACAAACGTATATCATTTAATCGACTTACTTTCAAAACTTAATCTATCGCCCTCAATAGATAACAGTATTTGAATAGCTTCTCTAAATCCTGCTTTATACACTACTCTCATGTTTGATACTTTCTCATATCTGATAGAAATACCAAATATTGTCTCAACTCTCAACTTATTCTTCTCCGAATACCCTCACTTAGACCATAAGTGTAAATAGTGTTTAAGCAAAAAATATGAAAAAGAAAAAACATTAAGTATTTATTGTTAATAAATTATTTGATAACTTGCTAAACAACTTAAGTTAAAAAATTAATATATTCATACGTAAGTATGTTTGTATGTTATTGTTAGTTTCTAGTCCATAGGAAATACACTCTTTAGTATTTTGAGGACTGTTACATTGATTGTTAAGGGCTACTTGTCGAATTTCATGAAATTGTATTAATATTTGAATATGACAACTGTAAAATTAAATCTTATCATACATTATTATATATGATAATTAATATGCACATCGATATGTACAACAAAATATATACAGAAATAAAATAAATAGCTATCCCTAAACCAAAATGTTGTTTAAAGTCGGACTAACTATTAACGAACAAAAGGTAAGTACTTCAATGATAAATAATTATGCATACTACCTTGTCCCCGTGGTATCCGTGATATAAGGGGGACTTATTCATTTATTTTCGAAAATGAGTTCGTAGGACAAGAACATTTTAAGACAGCTCAGCATCACATTTACCATCAGCAGTTGATCATCGAAAGTAGAGTAAACCAAAATAGAAACATTGCATTACGAACATCTGTCAATCATTACTTGTTGATCCCAAATGAACGCTCCATCGTTTTCCAATATAGTTTGTTCCAATTTATCAGCTATGACTTTTTCAATATTTTGCATCAATAGAAATATATTATTTAGTTCGTCGCGTAAATATCCGTTAAAAATCTGCTCAAAAATCGTTTGTTTCGTCGAGAAAATCAAATTTTAAATATCTAGTTCATTATATATTTATTTCGTATATTTGTAACAATTTTAACGAAATTTAGGTGTCGAATTACCACCCACGAAGTAGTGCACAGCGTGGAACGAAGCATAGATAGGACCTGTTCCATTCAGTGACATTGAATACAGAATACATTTATACACACACAAAGAATACATTTATACATTGAATCTGAGATGGTTTGTGACTGGAGTCGGATGCAGTTGATATAAATTTGTTGCTCTTGCTGTTTTTAATTCGATTTAACGAGTACGGTCGATACAGTGAAATAATTGAACTAACAAAGGAATGTGAATTATTACAAACGAAAACAATTGTATTACGTACATATTATGTATACATACATTTTTTTTACTTAAATATTAGCATATTTAATTCAATTTAAACTTTAGCAACATAACTTTGGGGATATTATACAGTAAATAAACAAAATTACTTCAACTTTAAATAAAACATTTCAATACTAATTGTGGTTACGGTGCAATCAGCGATAATTGCCCAAGCTATACTTTTTTGCTCTCTCAATTGATGTTTACTTTCCCCCTGCACAGGAAAAGCAAAGCAGCAACTGCATCGTGTGTATTTTGTAGTTGAAGTTGAAGTACAGGTGTTTTTAGTTGGCAGTCACTCTGCTGTTCATGTAGAATTGTTGCGCAGAGAGCAACAAGGTCAACACGTAGATGCACGCCGCAATCCAGCAGTTATACGCATTCTGCAACCAAATAAATGAAAACATTAATATTTTGAGTCAGAGATTAGTATGAACTCGGAACCGAGCATTCAGATTTCAGATATCAACTGGTTCACATACTTTGTCGTAGATATTTAATTATTGTACTTTTTATATCTGCTTTGTTCCGAGTTATTCACAACTTTCAACAATGATAACAAACAAAACACTCATGTACATATATATGTATATGTATTTATGGGCGGGTGCATATGATCGCTCGCATACATATATATATTGCATGTATCTACATACTTATGTGCACGTAATTATTAATTAGATATGTTCACATTTTGGCAAAAACAATGCACAAATTGTGAAAACGCACCTGAGTGTATGCATTATTGGCAGCCGTATAGAATTCCTCTAAACTAGAGTATTTCTCCTCAAGTGGCAAATCCTCGATTAAGGCCACGCTGTGTATGTAGAAGAACAATCCCATGAGCACCTAAAAATTACAAATATTAACATTCATTTGATTCGCACACATTTGGAAAATTTTATAAGTGATTTTTTTTTTGGTCTTGTGACTGTCCCGTATGACCCCAGAAAACAAAACAGATTCAGCAACAATCACAGTTCACGATATTTACCAGCTGCACAATGCCCCAAACGGAGATGATCAATCCGCAGAGGGAGCATTTCGGACCACAAATTTTCATTTTGCTAGCTTCGTTAATCGCTGCTCGACGGGGATGTAAATTTGTTCCTATTAAGTTGGAATTCGCGTCGATAGATTTTTCGCAGAAGCTAGCAAACGTCAGGTGAAAATCATGTGACAGTTCGTGGTGAGTGCAGTGTGACCAAGTCGCGATACCTTCAATATGTTAGCGATTGTTGTGATTTCTAAAAAATACCACATACAAAATGGTATGCACATCTCTAACAAATATGGGCAAAAAATCGAATAGATTAATTATTAATAAAAATATGATTAATTGAAAGAAAAGGGAACAAATATCTTTCCTTTTTTCTAGCTGCCCCAAAGGGAAGCTAACGAGGAAACTTATAATTTTACGACACAAGTCGTAACGTGTATTCACACAATTTTTTCTGATGTATAAGTGTGTGCATCACACATACGAGCAAAATTAGTGTCAACAATAACAAAGTACAAACTTTACCAAAAAAAAATATTGAAAATAAATTAAAAATTATCGATGCCAACCTCATCATCGGTTTACCACGAAAAGCAATCGAGGCAACTATGTGCCTTGCACGCCCTCAACAATCTCTTTCAAGGTGACCAATCCTACACAAAGGCTGAACTCGATGACATTTGCAGCAATCTCAGTCCAGATGTATGGATAAATCCACATCGCTCGGTGCTCGGATTGGGCAATTATGATATCAATGTCATAATGACAGCCCTGCAGAAGCGCAATTGCGAGGCCATTTGGTTTGACAAACGAAAGTGAGTACTGAACCCGTCTCTCCTCTGACTGAGTGACCAGCTCATCTCACCTTTTTTATGGTAAATATGTTTATCTAGAGATCCGTCTGTCATTAACTTGGACGCCATTGTTGGCTTCATACTCAACATTCCAACGGATTACAAGTTTGGGTTTGTAACGCTGCCGCTGCAGAGACGCCACTGGATTGCAGTGCGTCGCATTGGCGATTTCTACTACAACCTGGACTCCAAATTACGCGAACCCGATTTGCTGGGCAACGATGTGGAAATGCTGCAATTTCTGCGCGAGCAACTCTCCGACGAAGGACAACGCGAAGTTTTCCTTGTGCTCGAACAGAAAAATGGCGCAGCAGCAACCGCTGATCGTTGGCTAAAAAAGGAGGAGCCGCACAACTCTGGACTGGGCACATAACTCAATACATTAGATCTATTGAATCCCTATTATTAAAATCTTGTTTTTATGTACATAATTTACTTGTGTATTTAGCACAAATATTCTTGTTGAAAACGCTTAAAGTGAGTTGAACATTTTTCTAAATTGTCATTGACTTTTCAATTTATTGAGTGTGAAATGCAGTTTAAATACGCATTGTGTAGCAAAATACAAAAATAATACATTTATGGAACGTTTTGTATAAAATATGTGAAACGATTAAAAGTTCGTTATTTAATATTAATATTCGAAGTTGATTCGGACTTAAACTAAGGACGGCGATCAAGAAAATCGTTTTGGACATATATATATACGTATATATGGACGGATATGTAACAATATTTAATCGAAGAAGGCCCCACATGTGGAATATATATATATATGTGAATCCTCTCGAGACTCTGGCTTTTTTATATGTCAGTTTGGATGCTGCCGTGGGCTGGAGCTGTAGCAGTTGGCTGCTGGCTGCGTCCTGGCTGTGGACGACGCGGGCGACTCGGCTCCGGAGCAAAGTAGTCGTGTGGCAGTGCTGCTGGAGCGGATGCGCCACCTGAGGAAGAGGTGCCTGCTGCTGTTGCTGCTGCCGCCGCCTGGCTCTGATAATAATCATCGCCATATTCGCTTACCTCGCGATTGCTAATCTCATTGAGGCGCTTATAGCGCTCGCGACGTGCCTCGACCATGTAGAGTATGCCGCCGGGGAGCAGCATACAACCGCCAACCACAGCCAGGGCAAAGGACCAGCCCATATCGTTATTCTGCCAGCCAGGCATCCAATCGCGCGAGTCTCCCTTAGCTCCAAAGATGACTACCGCAATAAAGCCGAAAATGGATGCGAGCACCTGGCAGGTGCCGATCGTCAGCAGCAGGAACACATAGCGATCATCGTCGCGCGACGTGCGCAAGAAGGACAACGTCAACGGCAACGCCAGCAGGCACAGCACAAAGCAAAGTGTGGCAAAGAGCTGAACAGCTATGTAGAATCCTGGCAGGAGGAAGTCGTGTAGGATGTAGTATTCCTCCTCGAAGACCCACATGCAGCCATTGAATCTAGTGTCGTAGAATCGATGTATGTCCTGGAAGTTATTGAAACACACCTCCCACAGCCCGAGATTGGTAAAGCGAGGATTCTCAAGTCTTCCATCGGTGACCAGCCAAAAGGGCGTTGCATATGCGATGACGAAGAGCAGGAATGACACGCCCGATATGCCCAGGGCAACGCGTGTGTTGCGATTCGATGCGCCCATTCCCGATTCGTTATCTTCCTATTTGTACTAAACTTAAACGAGAAACAAAACTAAAAAGTCGACCAGAAATTAATTGAGTCAGAAAAACACACACAAAAAATATAAAACACAAAACACGCCCCGGCCAGTGTGACCAGCGCTGCAATTATATTTAACGCTACTCCGGGCGTTGCCACCTAACGTGGATAAACTGTACGCATCGGTGACAACTCTGCGACGCATTTAGTCGTCTCTTGTTTTGTGGCATAAAAACTTGTTTGCGAAAGCAAACGAGAAGAAAAAAAAAGTAATGTGCGTTGCTGGTGTATAAAATTCGTTTTTTGGCGCAATTGCAGCAAATAGATATATACACCTGGTGTTGCGTTCGTATCGTTTCAATTAACTTGCAAATACGCTGTTCTTAATCGAGGGTGCGTCGTGTTGTTGCCGCTGCTGCTGCTACGCTGACGCCAACGCCGACGACGACGACGCCAACGACGACGCTGACGCCGACGTTAACAATATGGCTTCCGAAATTGCTGTGGTAAACATTGGGAACTTTGAAAAGATACAGAACTTTCTAAATGACACCGCCTACAAGGAGATACTGGAGAACAGCGAGAACTTCAACACGCGCCTCTGCATTGAGAGGCGCCTCCGCATGCCGTTCCTCGACCCTCAGACGGGCGTTGCACAAACACACTGCGCTCTGTTCATGAAACGCAAGCAGCGAATGCCCGGCTTCCGGCATGGCCAAATCTATACGTATCCCTCGGCCCGTTGGCGCAAGCCGAAGCGACAATATTTATTGAATCCCCATCATAGCTATCGCGCCTATCAATATCGCGAACACCATCATCTGCCCCATCAGCATCAACATCAGCATCAGCATCATCATGTGCCAACCACATCGGGCAATTCGGGAACACTTTCCACACGTGACCATCATCAGGCGGAAAGTGCAGGTGAGCTTCGTATTATTCTTCATATAAATATATAAATACATATATAAATTGATGCATGTGTGCGTGTGTTTATGTGTGTGCAACAAAAGTGGTTGCAAAATCAATAAAACCTCTTACAATTGCTGCTGCTGCTGCTGTTGCTGCTGCTGCTGCTGCTGCTTTGTGTTCAGTCCTCAGACTCTTTCCTCATTCTCATTCTCAGTCACGATTCGGTTCCACCACCTTCGCATGGTGGTCCTTAAACGTTTGAAAATCAGCAAATTACATTATTACAAGTCGATTAGCTTTAAAAAGTAAATTTCAAATATGATTCTTAAATTAACAAATATATTTCTCAAATTATAAGTTTTAATATTATTAAAGATTACATGTAAAAACTATGTGCATTTGTTACTAATGTCTATTTTTTGTATTATTTAACAAATACATTAAACAATTTATCATTCTATATTAAGAGTTTAGTACTATTAAAGATAATGTCTCTTTTCCATTCTCACTCAATGGTTTCCATAATTAACACATATCAATTTATCCATTTGTAAGAATATAACCTTATTAATAGTGTAAATAAACATTTCTTTTAGCATCATTTTATGTAGTTTAAAACTGCACAAATAAATGAGATATCTTTTTTTTTAGTAATTATTTGTTGATTTCTTATCTTATTTATTGTTTGTATTACCAATATTACCAATGTAATTTATTACCAATATAAATCATTAATAATCTTTGGTATTAACTAAATTCTTATTGTGCAATCTTAAATTTATGAATACATTCGGCCCACTGTTCAATTGCAAACAGCAACAAAAACAAAAACTCAGCTAAGCATGTGTGGCTTTATGAAGCTGCATTTTCTATGTACATATATATATATGCACTCACACTCATATAAATGCATGTATTTGTGCGTAAATATCTATGTGTGTGTGTGTGTGTGTGTGTGTGTGTGTGTGGCGAGTGTAACCACCCCAATTGGAAAAACACTACACAAGCACATTGTGGCTGATTTATGTTTGCATATTCGCAAACAACAATACACACGCACAAATATATATATATATATATATATATATATATATTTATATTTATACATATATTTGTACTTGCATATTTTGCTTTATTACGAGAAATAATCGTGTTTTTCCTTGTAGCTATTGCGGCCACAGATGGCAACTCGATGGGCGCTTCTGGGGACAATGATAGCAAGGATTCACATGCCAATGCCGAGAAGGATTGGTTCCATGAGGATATGGATTCATCGCACTATCATCATGCCGATGACTACGAGGATGACTTTGATTCGGACAATGATTTCGACGAATCCTACAGTAGTCGGGGTAAACGCAAACGGGGATCACGTCCAAGACGCTCCAATGCCACCGTCGACGGCACTCCGAAACGTGGCCGTAAGGGAGGCGGTAAGCAAATGCCTCCCATCAGATAATTGATCAGCAAAAGAATTACATTTTTTTTTTAATTGCAGGAAGTCGTCGACGCAATGCAACGGATGGAGATACTCCAGATCGTAGGAGACGCAATGCAGCTGGCAATAATGCAAACACCTCGGCAGCAGCTGCAGCGGCAGCCGCGGCTGTCGCCCATGCTGCAAGCACTGCGGCAGCAGCAGCTGCTACTCAGGGACTCTATGCAACGCACTCTAACTCAGCATCACCGATTCCCATTATCGATGAAACCTCACAGTCGGCACTGGTGATGACGGCCACACTTTCATCGTCATCGTTCGACAAGACATCACTGACTGATGCCGGCGCCTCAAATGATTCAATCCCTTTGGCCACAATGGCCAGTATGGCTAACATGTCGACAACGCCAGCGTCTGCTGCTGCTGCAGCTGGTGGTGGTAGTGGTGGTGCTGGTAATGGTGGTGCTACAACAACGCCAGCTGTATACACAACTGTAAACACGCCACCAAGCAATCCGTTGGCAAGTCCCAAAAAGAACAAGTTGCGTGCGGAACGAGATGTGGCACAGCCTTCGCCATATTGTGACTTTTGTCTGGGCGATCAGCGTGAGAACAAGAAGACGAATATGCCTGAAGAGCTGGTGTCCTGCTCCGACTGCGGCCGCTCTGGCCATCCATCGTGTCTGCAATTTACGCCCAATATGATAATATCGGTGAAACGGTATCGCTGGCAGTGTATTGAGTGTAAATATTGTTCGATTTGTGGCACATCCGACAATGACGATCAGCTGCTGTTCTGCGATGACTGTGATCGCGGTTACCATATGTATTGTCTGTCGCCGCCATTGGTAACGCCGCCCGAGGGCTCCTGGAGCTGCAAACTCTGTATGGAGGAGTTTCACAAGCACAAGTAAAAAAAATACAACTGAATTTAAAATGACAATTCGAAGCTCGTCGCTCGTCGCTCGTCGGTGCAGAATGTAAATGTATTTTATTTTTATTATTATTTTTTAACTGTGTTTTTCCACGTGCGTGCAGCTTTTAAAATTACACATGTCTTAATTTTAAATTACCTTTTTAAGTATTCCTTAGTATGTTCTTAATCTTATGCGTGTATCTAATTAATTTAAATTTTGTATTCGTAACTACGCTTATATGTGGACCGCTCCAAGTATTCTAAGTATTCCGCCGCCTTCTGCGCAAAGTGTAGTTATACACAATGGTCGTTAAGTAAATTCAATCCTTATCATTTCGTATCATTTCTTTTACAATGTGTTGTACGAATCTTACGAAATATTTTTATGAACTTATAAATTACCATAATGCCAATAAATACTGCAACACTTTTTGCATACAATTTACTTTTGCTACTAATGAATTTATGACTTATACTTCGACCAAAAAACGTGTTTCAATATTCGCAATTAATCTGTAATTTAATGCTGAAGCTTGGTTTTGAAAATTCCGTTAGTTTTGAAAAAATTATGGCAAATGGTAACTTTTACAGTGTCTGAAAGGTCGATATTTTTTATTTAATTTTTAGATGAATTTAGCCTGAGAAATAGCCTGAGAAGTTCTGCGAATCGTTTAAAAGTCTTACATTTTTTGCAAGTGTCAATTGGCTTAGTTCGAAGGGTGCGAAAATATTTTCTTAGTTTATTGCGAGCAACAATGTGCTGTTAATTGAGCTCCAGTTGCCTTGCACTTGCAATTCATTTGCAAGTTAGTCAGCCAGTCAGTTAGTCTATCGATATGAGTCGCTTTGCGTGGTTTATTTCATTTGTAGTGCTCTTAGGTCTGGTGCTGCCTGCTCGGCTAATGGACAAACGGAATCGATCCAAACGCTTCCTTCTCTTTCCGCGTGCAGCACCGACAAGACATCAGGTAAATTATCTGATTAACCTTAAATCAATGCTCGATGTGATCGCAATACTTTCTCAGTTTATTGCCGGTCTTGGCATTCCGGCTGATCTAAATTACGAATCTCTTTCCATCGGGCACGTGCTGAAGACAGAGTTCTTTCTGCCCTTCAACGAGACCGTATTCCGTCAAAATCCATTTCTGCCGGAATACAACAATAAATTCGTCGAGTTTCGTAATATCCTGGAAAAACCCAGTCAGTTGCGTTGGCAAATTTACGCTTATATTGAGCACATGCTAAGCGGGTAAGTATTAAATTCGCACCGAGATCTGTTGATTTTAATATGTTTCAATCATAGCTATGGATATAATGGCCATGAATGCATGCTTCAAGCAATTTGCGAAGCGAATTCAATTCAATTTTCGAATGATTTTAGTGTCGTACATGAGTTGCTGCACTTGATGCTTAGGTAAGTGCTTTAGCTAGTACATATTGTCAAATTAACATTTATAAATTAAATGACCACAGCCCATCGACGACGCTAAATGAGGATGATGTGCAATCTGACGATTTCCAACTTGCCCAGCAGACGGGCGCCTCAACTGGCAGTTGTGAATTATATGACTGCAACATGAAGCTGCTTGATTGGTTTTCAAAAGTGATGCAATTGAACTACTAACAAACTGCATTTAAACATTTCTATTGCATTTATTTATTGTCTAAAGATAAATTCATTAAAGTTTCGATCAGTTCGTTTTATGGCTGAATTAAAGGCAAAGCTTTGTGGTCTAAATATAAAAATTTACCCAAGGATAATAGCCCAGTATGGTAAAATTGTCAAACTAAGTAGCTCAAAAGCTTAATTTTAACTGGAAATTTGTGCTTTATGATTTGAAACTTTGCTAAAGACCACTAAAAGAGGGAAATTATTATCTAGTTAAGCAGCAAAGCTTTTCAGTGACACAATTTAAAATTAAATTATTAAGTTAAAACTGTAAGCATAATTGCAATATTTTGCATTATCTTTTACTAACTTTTACTACACAAAATATTATCTGGTTATTACCTCAGTCATTAAAATTTTGCTCAAAGGCATTTGAAATACAAACTTGGGTGGAAGAGACGAAAAACAACTTTTGGTAATTTAACTAATAGTTTTTTTTTTTTCAAGCGATATCACCTTTCCAGCAGGGAGAAAACTAACTTAGTGCATGGGAAAAATAATTATGTTAATAACTACCAACTATTATGAAGCTCATTGCAGTGTTTTATGGCAATAGTTGAAGTTAAACTTTTCGAAGCTCACAAAAGGAAGACACCAAAGAATTTCTTTGTTGTCGAGTTTTTATTTTTGTATGCGCATTTTGTTCTTGAAAATTTTAGAGATAACTGCATTTAAAAAACTTGTAACTTGCAGAGAGCAGAAAAGAATTTCTTTGCTCATATCTATATAAATAAATGAGCATATAGAAGGTTGAAATTGTTTAATTTTACTTATACACCATATTGCTGCAATTAGATGGTTTAGAATAGATGCGACGATGCCATGAAATGTGGCCTTCCTCTTAATTAAGCCAAACACAAATCAGTATATGTCATGCCCTCTGCTCCTGCTTCGAATTCTGTAGTTGCAATTTAAGCTGACCACCGAGACATAGGCAGAGTGAGAGCTTCTGGCTATGCCACATTCTGGCATTCATGAGCCTCAGCAGCCACAACCATAACAATCGGTATTGATTGCATGCACAACCCAAAATGTGACTCGCACTCAGCGACTAACCAAAGTATTCGAACGCCAATATGCAACTATGAAATACCCATCGTATAATTTAGTGAGCCACATTTATAATTTAATATTGCATTGTAATAATGTAAAACACAAAATAAAATCATTTTCCTTGCTCTTCATTTCTGAGTGGGATATATTTTTGATTCCAGGAAGCCTTCAATTAATTGTATAATGAGACTAATATTGAGTTGAAATTGTTTTAATTAGTTTCAATCAAACTTATTGTGGTTTGTTAAGTTAAGTAAAACGGCTGCTGACCACAAAGCGGCCAGATTTGGCCGCGATGTGTTACTGAAAATTGGATGCTTCTCAATTTTCTGTCATTGTTGGGAGAATAAATCAGAAGCCCAGCCAGATGTGTTCATAAATTTGACAAACCTACTTGGTCTTGCTTGCTAACTGTCATAGGTCGGGTAGTAGAAGGGTTGTTTGGTAAAAGATGTTCATGCAGAATTAAGGTTGATGGAAAAGCTACATGCTCAGAAAGCCATGCAATAAATATATCAGGTCGACCATGTAGCCCCTAAAGAAATAATAATAAAACGTATTCAACACCTTTTCTCCGATGTATGAAACAATTTTTCCCAACATAAAAATAAAGTTGAATTTTTTTTGCCAACGGCGATAGGTCGGTTAGAAAGGATGTTTGATAAACAATAACAGCTTATTTTGAAAGCTTCGTTTGTGCAATCTATAAACTGCTCACCAAACATATTTTAAAGGGTATTCGAAATAGCAGCAATAATCGAAGTAAGCAGATCAAGCGTTTATACGGTCACAGTCATAAGCGTAATTTCTGCTCTAATTCTGTTGCAGTTTGTATTACAATGTTTGTACGCTGGCAATGTGCGTGTCCTGTGTACCGAGGACGAACAGTTGCTCCTTGTCTCCTTGCTCCAATTGTGTGTGTGTGTGTGTTTAATTGTGCTCCATTTCACATTTTAAGGCGCTTGAGTAGTTGAAGCCCCAAAGTTTCCAGCTCCCAGCTGCAGCTGCAGCTTCAGATGCTGTTTTTCTTTCTTTTCTTATTATAGTTGTTAATGACCAGCGATTTGCAATTGAACTGTAGTTGTATTGCACTTAAAGTTCTTTTTTTTTATTCCCCCATCTCAATCATGTTTACTACAAAGCTATGCTGCCACTTAAAGTCAATTGGCAGCCGCTGACTGAAGGGTGAACGAGCCAAAAGTGTGCTGGCTGTAAAGAAAAAGATGCTCCAATAATTTCTAATTTATATATTTGGTGAAAAGCCAAATCAAATGCACATATAGCAATCTACAACCAACTCCAGTAATCGATGAACATACAAAAAGTGGGCGTGCCAGCAATTTTGGATAGCTTGTCGACTCGCAAAAAAAAAAAAACACACAAACACACAAATAAAAGCAAATCAATGCCAATGTGAAAGAGGAATTAGTAGGGGTTAGGGTTGAGCGGCGGATCGTGTAGTAAATGCAAAAACTTTACCACTAAAATTCAATTGAACTGCAACGAGGCAGGCAGGCAGGCTGGCAGACAGTCAGCCAATGTGGCAGCGAGTTATTCGTTGTGGCAGCCAACACTTTGTGCAATCATTGGCAGCCAGGTGTTAAAATCGGAGCAGAGGGAAGGAAGTGCTCCACCGGCACAATTTGTGCCACATCGCAATTTCTGGCGCTTAAGTAAGAACTGCCAATAAGTCAGAGTCCTAATGGCGAACCTTCCACTTCCCAGCACTAATGTGCGGTTCATTAAATAAAGTTGACCAGAAGCACACGCAGCACACTCTCTGACTGGGCGACTGTCTGCAAGTCAGCTGCTCAATCGCATCGTGTAATCGTATTAAAAGGATTCAGGGGACTAATTAGCAAAGCGTCGATGCACTGACTCATTCATGCGTTTGTCCTCCACAAGTGACCAGTTGCCAGTTGCCAGTTGCCAATTGCCAGTTGAATGTCGACGGTCGCCTGAATGCCAGTTGCAGCCTCGGCTCCATCATTTGATTAGTCTAATGCAGTTCTGCTCTAATTGCTAGCCAGCTGCCACGCCCACAGCTTTACCCGTTAAAACTCATATGGAATGGCATACAAAAAAAAAAAAAAAAATGAAAGAAACTTGCAGAAAAAAATCTCTTTCAATTGCCAACGACTTTGGCGTCCAACGGAGACAGCAACCAGCCAGCAAGGTAACAAAGAAACTGCACTTTTTGCAACTTTTGGCAGCAGCTCTTTGCAACTTTACCGTTTGTGGTAACTTTTAGTCAATCAGCTCTTACTTTCTATACCCCGTGTCCACTAAATAGCTGAAAAAGGGAGGTGTAGATACTGCTCATAAGTTTGTAACTGGAGTTGGGAGTTATCTCTATCTCAATAAGACACATAATATCTGAACAAAAACATCTATGAAAGTATTGTTAAAGTTCATGTAATAATATTCTAAAAATGTCATAAAAATCCAATTACGTGCAAGGACACAGGGCAAGCAACTTTCTTAAACAAATAAATATAAAAGAAAAATGTTTACCAAAACAAAAGAACTTCAACTAATATGTAAGGGGACAAAAATCCTTATTTATAGTTTTTGTATATCTTGCAAAGTTATTTAATAAACTACTTTGAATATTAAAGGGTAACAGGAATATGCTTATTGGGTATTTTATGTTATTTGTGGCAGTCTCCTACTTAATTCTCTCAGTTGTTTCTTCCGCAATTTTTATAAAAGCTGCAAAAGTTGCGTTTTACGGCTTGAACAAGAAGAGTCGCGTTCGATTTTCTACGTTCCCTTACCACATCTCCCCATTTACAATATCAATCTTTCAGCAATGTCTTTTGACACTTTGGTGCCTAAAGAGTGCTGTGTAGGGTCTGTGAAGCGTATGGCATCCACAAAGGATTCAGTTAATACGTACTTAATAGTCAAGTCATAAATTTTAAATACTGCTAAATGGCTGCCACAAGATGTGTTCGAGTGTGCTTATGTGTCAGATACGCGCATGTAAAGCAGAAACACACACACACACACACACTCACGCATATATATATATCATTCGCAGGCCCGATCAAGGGACTACAGCCCCGCGAAAATCTTAGTAACATTTGGCATTAGATAAAGAAAAACGAAAGCAATTTATGAGCTCTTGGGCATTGTGGTTAAATGGGCCTTGGGCGGGCCTTTGGGACATTAAAACCACAGTGGGTGGTGCTGTCATTATCTAAAGTTCTTACTTGATGTTTGCGTAAGTAAAGCTATCCAATAGTTTAGTTTAAATTTGACTTGTAAATTAAATTTAAAATATATTTTCTGCTGTGCAAACTTTTTAAAATTGCTTCTGGTTTGCTTGAGTTATCTAAAACTAACATATAACGATATTTCAATGTTGTAGAGCTCTGTTATTTGCATGAACACCAAGTAAATAACTTAGTTTCCAAATTATACATAACTTTCATAATTTTCAATTTATTTAAATATTTTTCAAACTGTTCCCAATCTAAAAACTAATTTCACAAGTGCTCCAGGCAGCTAAAAGACTTGCATAAATGAACATGCATATCAAATTTAATTTTCAGTCATTACAAAGTTTTGATCAAGTATATTCGAAATGTTTTTTAACTACTTGAATAGTCTTAAATCTACATTTTCAATTTCGGAATCACTTTGTCTCTAGCTAGTTCCAAAGCGCTTTCTTCACTTTTCTAGCTTTTCTATTTTACGACAAAGCCAGATTTTTGTGTTTTTTTTTCTCGAGTGTATTTATGTGCTATGTGTCACATACAATGCATGCCACACACATACTTCCGCACACATACAGACACACACACACAAGCACACACAGTTGAGGAACTTCGACGGGCGCATAAAAATGATGAGTTATTTGTTTTTTAGTGCATAATTTATGAGTTAAATGAGTTTTTCATATGCGAGTGCGTGTATGCTCGACTTCGTTATGGCACT